GTGTTCCCATATGACAGGGCAAGCCTCAAATTCACAGAAAAAGGCAACAAGAGGTAGTGGATAAAGAGAGGGACATGAAGTCAGGAATGCTTAGGTTCAAATCCCACCTCAGCTACTTACTAGCTAGCAGTGTGATGTTGAGCAAGTCACTTAACCTTTCTAGGCTTCAGTTCCCTCATGAGGATAACAAGGGAGTTGAATCTGAATACCTGAAGACCTCCCAGGCTCTCTTCTATCTCTAAATCAATGAAAAAAGAACTCCATTGGAAAATGTGAAAGATTCCTCCAGAAGACTTCTGATACCTCCCTACCTTAAGAACTAAAATTTCTAACAAGCACATCTGCTAATTCTAGCAAATTGGAGATACTTTGGTAGAATATACAAACTCCCTTTGACCCTAATCCAGAAATTGGCACAGAATACTGATATCTCAGCGGATCAATTTTTGAAGGCTTGAGCATTTCTTTGGATAACAGAATCATAGCTTGAAAGTTGGAAGAGACTTTAAAGGTCATCAAGTACAACCCTTTCATTTACAAATTTAAAAAAAACCCACCAATATATTTAAAGCCCACTACTTTGGAGCATCAAAGATGTATAAGATATGGTTACTGCCATCGTTGAAGAAGTCATAATCTTACTGAGGAGACAAGATATAAGCAGAAGAAAGAGTTAAGCAATATAAGGCTGTAGAAATGACCTGGCAGTGAATATTAAGAGGAATGCTCAGACACATGACCATCATTAACCTTGCCAACAAATTTTCTGGAACAAGGAAAGCATAAGAGTAAAATGACATTACCTTGTAAGCCTAATATTAATAGTGTTGATATCAACAACTCACTTTTATATACCATGTGAAGGTTAACAAGCAATTCCCTCACAACAGCTGTGAGGTAGAAACCAAAACTTTTCTGCATCAAATAGAAAAAGGAATTAATTGAAAGTCTCTGCATCCCCTGGAGAGCTACCTGATGATTTTCCCACTTCAGAAACCAGAATGAAGATCTTTAAATAAAACAATTTAAATTTCTTCTGAGCAGAGAATTTTGCCTGACACTTGTAGGAGTTCCTATTGCAAACTGAACAACAATTATGCTTCAGCTATCAATAGTGGAGGTGGAGGATGAGGGGAGGATTATTCCCTGAAGTCACAAACGTAGGCTTGGATGTGAGTATCTGTGGGTGTCTAACATGTCGATCAACTAAGCAACTAAGCTCACACTGAATCAACCACTAGTCAGACATACTTATAATGGGGAAAGCATGGTAGACCAGCAGCCTACAACTGTCAAAGGAGCCTAAAAATAAACTGAATGGCATAAGAAATGACAATCTCAGCACAATGTCCTCCAGTTTTTCTTTAAGTCTTTTATGTTCATATGGCATCTTTTAGGATCAAAACTATAAATGAATGCAGATTGTGAGGTATTTTCAAAGATTTCAGAATGCCTAATAAAGCATGCTGGAAATATCCCTGTTCCTAGAGTACAGAGAGGTTGCTTGAAGGCCCAAACTACAGCAGTCTTGGCTGCTCCACAGAAAAGTTATTGGTATCCATGTCTTTAACCTAAATAGGAATCCAATCACTCATCAAATTACCTGTACAATGCTTGGAGAACTGAAGGAAATTAAGCTTTAGGGGATTGTGTCCATTACTGAAACCAGCTGGCCAACATGTCACTGCATATTGTAAGTAACAGAGAGAAAGAAGAGGGAAAAAAAGTAATGATAATATAACTTTATACTCCCATACTGCTTTATACTTTAGGCAGCACCTTCTTGACTCTTAACTGAAAGTATTCTTATTTCAATCTGTGCCCATTAAGCGCAATCATCAACTATGGAGAAAAGGTAATAGTATGGACTTATGAAATAACCAATTAATTGAAAGCAAATAACCTTTTATTTTTGATTCAACTGAGGTTATATTATACTGCACCAATAACAGGTTTCTGTAATTGAGGAGTGTCAACTTATTTATTCTGCCCTCTGATTTTTATGAATACATCCAATAGTCTAAATTGCTCAAGTTTATATACAAGAGAGGCCTAATGCATGACATCTATATATACATATACACATATATACACATGTATGTAACATATAAATATGTTGCATCTTTATTCAGTTAACCTCAAGGGAAAATAAGGTTTTTTTTCCTACTGAATTCATTAATTAATTCCCATTTCAGCAAAACATTTGCTCCCTGCATTCCTTCTCCCAGTTTGTCCTCTTCTCCTCTCTTTCTTCCCCTCTGCTTCCCCCCACTCTAGTCATGAGACTCTATTCCATTATAAGGTAGTTCTGGGAAACTGACAAGAGAATGTAAAATAAAACAGGATCTTGGGAGAGAAGACTTTTTTCTTTTTGTTTTTCTTCTTTTTAAAAATAGAATCCAATAAAAAAAAAAGGAGAAAAAAGACATTAGATAACTAATGATTTATTGAACTCACTGAACACTATCAAAGTAGAATGAAAATGTTTCACACTAAATTAAGCCACTAGTCCCAATAGGAGAGCTTTGTCCAATCTAAAAAGAACCATTATTTTAAATAGGAATTAAAATTTGTTCAGAATGATTTAAAAAATCCCCCCCAATTATTCCTTTGGCATATCTTTCTTTATGCCCTGAGTTTCATAAATGTGTCAAAAATACTGGGCTCATGTTTATTTTGAACTCACTACATGTATTTGTTTGAATATTATGTATTTATCTGCAAAAGAAAAAAAAATCTCATATACATATACACACATGCACAGGCAGCTAGGTGGCACAATGGATATAGCCCAGGGCCTGAAATCAGGAAGACTTATTTTCCTGAGCTCCAATATGGCTTCAGATACTTACTAGCTGTGTGACCCTGGGTAAGTCATTTAACCCTGTTTGCCTCAGTTTCCTCATCTGTAAAATGAGCTGGAGAAGGACATGGTGAACCATTCCAGTATCTTTGCCAAGAAAACCCCAAAAAGGGTCATGAAGAGTGAGACATGACTGAAATGACTCAACAGTAACAATACTTGCACAAGGCCAAGGCTGTTTGAGTAGCAGGTTCGTTTTCAAAAACACCTCCTCCTCCCCACCACGATTTCCTAACATGTATCACATAAATCACACACTGAAAGAAAAGACTTAAATTTAACACCAAAGGGATTTAGTTGATTGTTTGCTTGAAACACAGGAGGGTTTAGGGTCTGTGTCTGTTTAAATTTTATGGACTGAGCGTCTAGGCAATACATCTTTGGATTGCACAGATAGGCAAGCTTTAGAACTTGTAACAAGATTTTTATGATACTTAAATCAAGTAATCCTTGTCAGAAACTCAATGCAGTTTATCTCCTAAAGCAGTCAACTACCAATTCCCACATAATAAACACAAAAAGTATTTAAAAATACCTTTTCTCTTTTGGAGACTAAAGAATTCTTCTAATGGGTTTTGGTAAATTTACCTGAAAGATACATATTCAGGAAAAAACCCCCAGTAGCCTAGGGGTGGTGATGGGGGTGATAATCTGTCCTTTTCTCTCCTTGGAAGGTGGAGACTGAAGAGAAGGAAGGATAAGAGAGGTAGAAGCCTAAGATGGAACTTCTGCCTATTGGGCTAGGGCTGTGGCCTGCTCAGGTACAAGCTGATTAACACAGGCCTCTGGTACTCAATAGTACTTGATATCCCATTTCCAATATATTTTCAACCTTCTTTGTAGAATGAACACTTGGAGAAAATAAATACAATTTATGAGTTAATTCCTAAGGGTCAAACAAATTGTTTTGAATAACTCTCCTCTTAATTCTCAAACTACTTACCACCCTCTACTTTGTTTTGTGGTTATTTGTGTTAGTTGTCTTACTTTCCCTTTGAAACCATAAGCTCTTTCAAATTAGGAATCCCCATTTTAATCATATTTATAATCTTTCTGGTATACAGTATCATGTTGTATACACACACTCACCAAAGGTTTGAGGACCAAGATGCCCTTATATCCTCACCCTTTTCTCAATCCCCCATGGGGGAAAATAGCTTACAAATGTTGCTTGGGTTAAACCATTTTTATTTTTAACAAGTAATAAAATATGTCCTTTGATCCAATAGGAGAATTGGAAATCACTTTATGTCTATTAATCAAAAACACAGAAAATTCCTTTGTCACCAAAGCAGCTTATCACATAATTTTAAACTGAGGCTTATAGGGCTGAAATAATTTATGTGAGTAAAGGATTGGAAAAAACCAGAGAAGAGAGAATAGTCGTTCCATTTTACTTTCTAATTCCACATGTGATAATCTCATGAAGGAGTAGAGGCAAGACCCTCTTATAAGCTCCTTTTTGTAATTAAGGATACAGGGCTATACTGCTTGCAACGGACCAAGTCACCCTTGCAAACTTTACCTAAGAGAAGGAAGAGACAGTATACCCATTCTTTTCACTTAGATGAAACTGATTTAGTTTGAATGTCCAAGGTTCAAGCCATGGACTTTTTAATGAGCAACAAATAAAAACTTTCCAGCTTAGTGAAAACTGAATAGGTTGAATATAACTTTCCAAACTTTTCCAAGTTTGCATATTGGTTACTATGGCAATAGTGCCTGCTTTCTCTGTGGCTGTTTCCAGCATTCTTGTATCTAAACCTCAAAAGTCTAAAACTGTGGTGCTTTTCTAAGGAGGACTTTAGTAATTCTTTCATCTTCATGCTCTAATAGATCAGTCTGATGTCTATCTCATCTTAATTTGTTCCTCTGAAAATAAATATTTTTCACAAGAGGGATTTTATCACACAAAAAGTCTTCAATAAGTCATGCACTTTACAACTAGGAAGGCAGATAGAACTATTTTGGTCATTGCCAAAATACAGTTTCTCAAAAGTAAATTAACTACTAGTCTCTTTACTGCTAATGAGACTTGTATCAACATCCCTTCAATAACAAAAACATAAGCCAACTTTGTGGAAAATTATATGCATTCATGGAGAACAAGGCTAGACAGAACTGTAAGAATACTTACTGCTGGAGCTTGAGATCTCTTGATGGCTGGAAGACATTGGCTGAGCACAGAGTTGACAAAGACAGTCCCTTCCATTGAAGGTAACTCGGTCTCCGGGTGGAAACGGCGTCTGGAAACAGAAAGACATTGTAGTCAAGTTATTCCAGTGATCCAACTCTTTTCTCTTGCTCTTTCAGTTTGCTGCACTCTGGGGCAAAATAATATCTTAGAGGAACACCAGCCAAAATGATTTAAATGAGGTCTTGATCAAGCCAGCCAAGTGGAATAAATCCAATTCCTAAAGGCACCTCATTTAGGAGAGAAAGGGGGTTATAGGAGCTGCTTTCATTTCAAAAAAGGCCCATCTAAATAGTAAAATAGAGAAAATTTTACTTCAACTTCATATCTTGAGTGATGTCTTAATGTGTCTCTGAACAGCATGTGACAGGAAAATTTCAGCTGACAGGTCTTTCAAGAATAAGGGATTTTGAACACCATGAATTCTTGCTAAATACTCAAGGCCTCTCCCCAAGAGAGATGCTAGAAATGAAAGCATTAACTATTAGGTAACTGGGACATCATTAGAAAATTAGAGATCAGAAAACTCCTTCATTGAAGCAGGAGTTATTTCTGATGCCAGAGAACATTAAAGAAAAATTCTCATGGTGCCTGGGATGTCATTTGCTTAAAAATAGGGATCACAGGAACACAAAGAATCAGACTCACTATTAATAGATGATATTTATTCAATAAGTTAGCTTTAGCTTCTTTCAGAAAGCAAATGTTGAAGGCTATCATTGAATTTTCATTTTTACCAATATTCAAATTCAAAATACTATTTCAGCCCTATAAGCCTCATTTTGCAAACTCTCAATCTCATGACAATTGTCTGATGCATTTCTCCTTGCCTCCTGCTGCCTCTCTCCTAACCCCTAATTCAGTGGCAGTCTACATACTATTTTTTATAGCTATCAAACAAATATTCCACATATATTTTCTCTGCCAGATTATTTACTTCTAGGTTGCACTTGGCCAATTCACCAACAGAATTCATTATTGTGAATTTCTAAAGGTACTATCGTTCTCTGTGTGATACTGCCATTTAGCAAACAGTTCTAAAACCTGCAAGACAAACATATCAGCACAAGTCTTAGAACAAGCTACAATTAAACCAAAGAATTGCTGAAGTTCATTAAGTATTTACTTTTATAAATGTTCTTTTTCTTCCAGTTGCTTCTGGTTTCAACCCCTGTCCAAACACTATTATTACTGGTAATTAATTGTAATAAACCAAGGGGTAAATCTGGAGTAGCAAAATTATTCTTATGCTTTGCTACCATCATGTATTTGTTCATTGGGGAAAATTTCAAGGCAATTGTCAAATCAAACATAGCCCAAGCCATAGATGAGTTTTCACTAGTGTTAGTTGACCAAAGCAGAATAGATATTAAGATAAGTAAAAGCCCCACTCTCTGTCCAATCCTTGTATTAGACAAGCATAGAATCAATCCAGTCTTGTCTGGAATGAACCTCTATTGGGACCTATAGGGAGAACATCCAGGAGTTAAAGGGTCATTCTCTTTAATACCTCACCCCTCCCACCTTTCAGTTAATACCTATTATACATAATAAATGAAGAACATAGGCTCAATATATTCCTGCCCCACTCAAACCTAAATTTTTAGGTTCAAAGTCTATATGAGCATGTCTCTGTTATATTTACAAATACATCATTATACTCTGTGGCAAATCAATGAAACATAAGTGGAATTTTGTTCTTAAGATGAAAAGAATTCTCTTGATTCATTAAACAAATGGAATTTCAAAGACTCCAGCTCTTAGGGTAACAGAATAATAGAGATAGAATTAATCCATCAGTCAAAAATTTTTAATAAGCAGGTGCTGAAGATGCAAATAATAGTGAAATAATTCTTACTCCAAGGAGCTTACATTCTAAAAGAGATATCAGGGGTCATCCTGCCCAATCCAAACATTTTTAGATATAAGAAACTAAATTCACAAAGTCCTAGTTTGATGATTCGTCTTCATGTGGAGGTGACCATGGTTCCTGAGGGGTATGGTAGAAGAACATGAGCTCTGGGAGGTTCTATTAAGTTAGAAAGGCTTCAAGGATGGTTATGGTATCATATTAAGTATACTGTCCAAGGACTGACCTAGTAAAGTCTAGAAAGGTTCGTTACTAGCAGATTGGTTATAAGGTAAGGAAGTCTTCAATTAAGACAACCTATGAAATAAAGACATTTTATGTAAAAAATTCCTTTTGTTCTGTGCAACCTGTGTGTACTTCTGGATTGACGGTGGTAGAATTTTATAGAGGGGTAAGAAAGAGCTAAGAATTGCATAATTTTTAGATAACCAATGAATAATTTAGCTGCTGGTACTCTAAATGTTAGGCTTGTTCAATGGCTATACCTTCTGAACTATATTAACACTGATATTTTAAATTATAAACAAATCCAGAAGATAAAAGGAAGTTTTAATTAAATAGTAGGGGTCACAAATTTTCTTCATACAGGTTAACAAAGGATTTGGAAGAATTGGTTTTATGTGTTCCCAATTCAGTAAGAAACATTATTTCATTGGGCAGATGGCCATTTTGTTTTACAATGTTTATGATAAATATAAACAAAAGATCACCATGAAAATTAACAGTAGCTTGTGCTAATATCTGTTGCAGATGATGAAAAAGTATAGAAATTTTGTGAAGAATTTTTTATCATTCGCCAAACTGATAATGACTTTTTCAAAGAAATCAGTTTTATTGATGTCTTTTGATTTTTTTTAGACCACCACAATTGACCACAAGAAAGGCATAAAACAGGGAGATATGTGCTCACCAAAGGTACTCCTCATTGTCATGGAGGATGCCCTATACTCAAAGGGATCTGTGATCTTATTGATTTGTGTGGCCCCTTCAACAATACATAGCAGAAGCCATCCATGCCTGCCCATCTTGTGACTCTTGTCCATGTCCTCCCATACATCTGTCACGGTGGGGAGGACTTCCTCACTTTCTCCTGATATCTAGATAATACTAGTGGAGGATTTTGTCTATCTACTTGGCAACCCTCATCCTTGCAATGTGACCAATCCATTATCTATCACACATTTTCTTGATGACATCTTTTACTCCTGTTCCTCTTTGTAGTTGCTTTTGCTTACATCCTGCAGCCTGCTCACGCTCTGTGTGATATTCAATTTAAAATCTCTGGAGACCTTATGTTCTTTTTCTCATAGCCATACAATGCCATCAGCAACATGTTGGTATTTAAAAAGATGGGCCTTTGTTTTGAGGAAAAGTTTGAGGTCTTTAATAATGGTTTGCCATTTCCTGAAGGCAATCTAATCTGCTTTCCCCTTCCTGTTTAATTTTGAGCCTACTTGTTCATTTGCGCTGTCTTTCTCAGATATACCCTACTAACAGGTAATAAGATATCCTACTAATACTATAAATTATCCATAAAATTGACTGTCATAATCTGGACAAGAGACAGTCTTTATCCAGTTGGTTTACTCTGTGTGGATGGTCAGGTCAAACTCTTCTGAATATCTATATGTCTCTTCCAGGAAGCTGTGTAACGTTCTATGGCTTGATGCAAATAGCACTGCGTGTATAGTCACAAAGCTAGCATACACCGGAATTAGGACTTGATACCCATTCTTTCTGACACCAAGGCTGGCTATTTTCCCACTGTGTTCTGTACCCATCAATGAGATATAAACAAAAAGAGGACAGACTGATCATATGATAAGATTAATGGAAAAAGAGATAGATTGAGTTCTGTATTTGTGATTACAGAATGAAAAATTATCTAGGAGAAGGCCTCTAGCATTTTGGGTAGCTCTTAAGTAAATAAGGATCTATAAGAGAACTTGGATAAAAATCACACAAGATGCAAAGACATGGATAGGTGATAATCTTTATTGACAAAGGTAATGTCAATCTTTATGAGATCAAAGAACCATTGAAAAGTCAGCTAAGAACCTGTCAGAGGAGATGTATTAGAATGGAAAGAATGTTGAGTCTGAATCAGGGGATGTGAGTAATCCAACCCCTGTTATCTACCTACTCTCTACCTGTGTGACTCTGGGTAAGTCACTTAACCTTTTTCAGCCTCAGTTTCCTCATCTACCAAGGGAAAGCATTAAAAAGTAAAGGCTGAAGGTAGGGGCTTATTTAGTTTTTGTCTTCATATCCACAGCACTGAAATGTAGCATAGGATAATGCTGTGTTCAATTTTGGAGATGTCACACTGACAAATTGAAGGTGGCCATGATAGAGAAAGGTCCATTCCCATGAGAAGTAATTGAAGGAACTGGGGATACTTAGCCTAAAGAAAAGAAGTTTTGGGAATAGCTGGCTTCAGAAATTTACAGGGTTGTTACATAGAAGAGAGAATAAACATGTTCTCTCTTGCCCTGGGAGGTATAAAACTGGGCCCCAAGGCAGGAAGACTTAAATCCACATCTCCCCTCTGAAAAACACTGCTGCCTGTGTGGCCCTGGGGAAGTCACTTCAGTACTCTAGGCAACTTTTTAAGAAGGTAAACTGCAGAGAAGATTCCAACCTTCAATGGTAGAGGGAATTTCCTCATTTAGGAGCTCCATCTATCTCCATCTCTCCATCTCTCCATCTCCATCTCTCTCTCTCTCTCAAATTGAAGACCCAGTCCCTAACCTATCCTAAGCATCTAGGACAATGCCTAACACAGAGTAGACACTTAATAAATGACTATTGATTGCTTGATTGAGTTGATTGAGGGAGTTGGACTACATGACCTGTAAGATCCCTTCAAGCTCAAAATTTATGATCCTGTGATAGAGAGGTCAAATGACTTGTCCAAGGTCGCATAATTTACAATGATTGGGATCCAAATCCAGGCCTCTTTGCTTTCAAGACAGTGCTCAAGGAGTGAGGACTGAACTTTGCTTTTGTAATAACTCAAGGCACTTATAATTGTCTAGCTACAATCTAACAAAGCAAAATTTAATTCAATTATTAAAAATATATAGCAGACAATGCTCTTGAGATGTATGTGACAAAACAGAACAAACAGGAATGTGTCCCAACTTCACAGAGGCTAGTAATGGCTGAATTAGGGCCAAATAAGAAAGCAACTTGCACCTGTTAGTCAGCCTTCTTGTTAGGATATGGGCTTAAAAAGAACACAGGGTCTTAATCTACATGCTATGAGCACAATAATTCAAAATAATAACTCAAAATAATCTCCCCCTGAAGCCACTTTACATTTAAAATGGCTGAATCTTTTTTTTTTAATTAACCAGAGAGGGAGAGGAAAAGAAGGGGAAAGGGAGAGAGGAAGAAGAGGGAAAGGGGGAAATGGAGAAAGGGAGAGGGAGTAGAAAGGAAAGGGGGAGAGAGGAAAAAAAAGGGGGAGAAAGGGAGAGGAGGAGAGAGAGAGAAGGAAAGGGGAAAACAGAGTGGGAAAGAGGAAGAGAGAGAGGAAAAGGGAGGAGAGAGAAAGGGAGAAAAAGGAAGAGAAGGAATGGGAAAGAGGGAGAAAAGAGGGGGAGAAATAGAAGGGGAAAGGAGAAGAGGGAGAGGTAAGGAGGGAGAGAGAGAGAAGAAGAGGGAGGCAGAAAAGTACAGAGAGTGGGAAAGTGAGAGGAAGTGAGGAAGAAAGATGGGGAAAAGGAGAGAGGAAGACAGGAAGAGAGATAGAGAGGGGGAAGTAAGAGGGGGAAGAGGAGGGAGAGGAATAAAAGAAGGAGATAACAGATAGATGGGAGATGAGAAAAAGGGAAGCAGAGGGAGGGGGCAGAGGAAGAATGTTATAACAAGAAAATTTGTCCAGTGACATGTTTCTACCATATTGCACAGCTCTTCCCTGCTGCTGACTTGCTGTGGGTAGCTTACTACTTACTTGCAGATGGTACACGCAAAGCAGTTAGGATGGTAGGTCTTCCCGAGAGCTGTCACCACCTCTCCCTCCACGAATTCCCCACAGCCGTTACAGCGAGTTCCATACATTCGCTGGTAGTCCAGGGTGCAGAGGTATTCTCCGTTCTTTATGAAGAAGCCTCCTTGAGCCAGGTCACAACCACATACTGTAGAAATACAAACATGTTTACAATTTGATTAGGGAAGCTCATTCATTGGGGAAAAAAATGTATCTTCAAGTCAGGCTGATGGACTTCAGATTTGCTATTTTGGGGATGGGGCAGGACGGTGAGGTGAGGGGAATGTGAGATTTCTAGAGAACTATTTATTACTTATGCTTTTCTGTGTCTCTTTCTTGTCTTCCCTTGGGGGATATGGAAAGTCTCATACGAGTAAAATTCCTGGATAAGCCTCAGACTCCTCTGAAGTGTGTCTTAATTACAAAGGTAATGGAACAGTCTTTGATGAGAACACAGGATAAGAGTAAATCAAATTAGGACAATAATGTCTCTGGAAGAAATGTTTCAGGAAGCATGTCTACTACTTGCCCATACAACTGCTTGACTGTGGCCAATATTACTGAGGCAATTATCCAGTTTCCCTAGACACCAAAATAAGATGCTTCATGGCAGCTTAAAATCTCAAATTTCCTTACATGCTTGAAATACTTTCCCATAATAATGAAAAATGACAGAGCATCTCACCATTTGGTGCTGCAGGGAGAGACACAAACAATTATAGTTCAGTGGAAACAACTCCAGATTTGAGAGTTGGAAGACCTGAGTTTTAGTCCTGGCTCTGGGCACTAATTAGCAATGTGTCACAAGATGTACTGATGTGGGATGTGTAAAGGTTGATTTTGGAGAACTGATGGGCCACTTAAAATGAAATGTAGAGTACGTGAAGGAGAGTAATATGAAATAAGACTGAAAAGCTAGGTTGCAGCCAGATTATGCAAGATCTGAAAAGCCAGTAAGAGAAATTTGTAGTTGACCAATAGGGAGCTACAGAAGGTTTTTAGGCAAGGGACTGACACAGACAGATTTGCATCTTAGGAAGATTCCTTTGGAAGCTAAGGAGAGGATGAATTAGAAATAGGGAGACTTGAATCAGGGGGAAAAGTTAGGGGCTATTACAATAGTCTAGGTGAGAGGTGATGAGTTCTTGAATTGGTGAGGGAGGAGGTTTTTCTTTTTTTTCCATATTTATGTGTAACCATCAGAACATGTAAAAAGAGTGTATATTATGAGCCCTCAAGCTTGGCATATTGCTTACTATGTAAAGCCACAGGATTCTAGGATTCATTTCCCCTATCTCTGAAAGGATAGAGTTGTTTTAGATGTTCTCTAGGATTTGTTCCAGGTCCAACATTCTATGATTAAGACAAAGGGGAGGGGAATTATCTTAATAATAGTAATTTCACAATCATCTAATGCTTCAAGGATTACACTGTTTTCAGCACAACCTTGGGAGGTAAGAACTATAATTCCCATTTTACAAATAAGGAAAATGAGGCTCTGAGAGTTTAAGGGACTAGTTTAAGATAACAGGTAATAAGAATCCTTCACCTTGGCCACTGTCTCTACTTCCTCCCTATTACAAAATTGGATTCTGCTCTTAGAACCATTCTGGATTCTGAAAGGGTAGTCTTAGCCTTATCTTTCCTGTATAAAAGCCCTAGGCCTCCAATGTACTTCCCAGTTATCTCCACACCATGCTGTCTCCACCCAGTGTTATCATATCTACCTCCTTCCTACTGGAAAATTGGCCTATATTTGGAACCACCTTGGGCTTTGATAGGCCAGTCTTAGCCTTATCTTTCTTGGATTCAGGCCTCCCTTAGTCATCTTCATGCCATGTTGTCTCCACTCAGGGCATCCTCTGCACCTACTTTCCTACTGAAAAAAATGGATACCATCCTTTGAACCACTCTGGGTTCTGATAGGACCGCTTTGGCCTTATCTTGCCTAGATCCAGGGCTCCATGACACTTAAAGGCCATCTCCATCACTGATGCACCACTTTAGCTCTCCTTCCAGGGCCTCTTTATGTGTTGTGTTCTCTCAAGACTCCAGAGACTACGGCCTGCTTGTCTACATTTGTATCCCCAGATCTCAGCACATAGTAAACACCCAATGAATGATTCATCCACCTACCTAAGAGTCAGAATCAGGATTTCAACCCTTGACTCCTGATTCCCTTTCCCTGACACCAAGCTGTTTCTCTTAATATAAAGACTACTATTTATCACCCAACATACACAACAAATCATGACAGACACTAGGTTTGGACTTAAGTTTCTCTTCTATGGCTAAGAAATTCTGTGTTCCAAGGGGCAATGCTAACAAGCAGACCAGGGGAGCCAAAAGCATACACATGGCCAAGCTGTTCATACAAGAACAGATTATGACAACTTTGTCTATAAATAAAGAAGGCAAATCAACCACCAGAAGGGAGGCTTCTACCCTGCAAGTATCCTTTATCAACAACAAACGAGTATTGACATAGTTTCAATTTACACTATTAATCACTTTCTGATGACCATACCCCTTACCCCAGAATCTCCTTTATAAAATATCTGCCACTGCTCTGCTGAGGGGAGTAAGCTTACCAATATTCTTTGGAAGACAAAAAAATAGGAGTATTGGAAGTTTTGCCCTTTTCAGTTTCATAGTCAAAAATATTCTGCAAATCAGTTAGGGGTTTATGGCAGAAAATCAATGTTGTTTTTTCATAGTACTGGAAAGGAGTTGTGGGTAATGTCTTATACAGGTGCCAGAGTTTGGTTTTTTTTCCCCCCAATCACCAGATTGCTTTCCCTACAATTTCTTTGGTATTTTGCCACACTCTACAATTACATGTTCCCCAAAATGATTAATGAATCTACATAACAACTGTTGAATAAAGGACCTTCTTAATGATCATGACGCCTATATCCTCAGTTGGAGGTCTCTCTTAATTAGTAATAATAATAATAATTATTATTATTATAAAGTAATAAAATTTTACTTTATTTTATTTAAAAAAATAAATAATAAAAATAAACTTTTTATACTAAATTCAACTGGTAAACTTGAAGAACAAGCTTGCTGCCAATCTTTTTCTGAAAACATAGCAAAACTGGAAGCAGCTTTTCTGAAACCTCAGCCAAAGTAACCTGAGGACAGACGGGATCAAATGGAACACCTCAAAGGCCAGAGCTGACATCATCTGTGAAAAGAAAACTCTGATTACCTTACCTAATAAAATAGTTATTTCAAAAATTGACAAAGCAACTCTTTCTTTTCTTTCCACCATGACAATCTACTCCCTATTCTTCATTTCTCTCCAGTCCCACCCCATCCTATTATTTATTCTTAAATATGCTGGGCTCAGTGTAATCTTCTATTTTTACATTGTATCCACCGCCTCAAATATCTATCTAATCAGTTGTCAAATCTTGTCATTTCAACCTCCCATAATATATCTCCTATTCTTCCCCTTCTTTCAACTCACTCCACCATCACCCTAGTTCAGGTCCTTAAGACCTCTTACTTAGACTTGTGCATCAGCCTCCTCGGTGCTGCTAATTGACGTCTTTTCCTACTCCAATCCATCCTTTACTCAGCTGCAGAGATTTTCCTAAATGTAGATCTGATCATATCATTCCTCCATGATCAATAATTTCCAGTGGTTTCATATGACCTCCAAGATCAAATATGAAGTCCTTTGTTTGGTATTTGCAAGTCTTCACAATCTGGTCCCTTCCAGTCTTTCCAGTCTTCTTACACATCCTTCCATACACTCTATAATCATGCCACTCCAGCCACCTTTTGTTGTTCCTCATGTATGACACTCCATCTTGCATCTCCATACCTTTACAATGGCTATCCCTAAGGCCTGGAATACTCTCCCTCCTCAACTCCACCTCTCAGGATTCTTGGCTTCCTTCAAGACTCAGCTCAAATCTCCTTCAGGGGGCCTTTCCCATTTTCCAAGGGTGCTAGATCTTCACCTCTAAGGTTACCTTCCATCTATCCCGTATGTATTTTTGTTTTCTCTCCCATTAAAATGGGGTAGCTAGGTGGTGCATTGGATAGAGCACCAGCCCTGGAGTGCTCAGGTCCCAGGAGGACCTGAGTTCATGTGGCCTCAGACACTAGCTGTGGGACCCTGGACAAGTTACTTAACCTCAAATGCCTCCCAACCCCTCCCCTGCAATGTAACCTCCTTGAGGAAAGGAATTGTATTTAGCTTTCTTTGTATCCACAGCACCACTCAACACAGTACCTGACTTTACACAGTAAGCAATATGCTAGCCTTGGGGGCTCATAATATACACTCTATATTACATGTTCTGATGGTTGCATATTTATATGAAGAAAAAGAAAAGCTCCCCTCCTCTACCAGTTCAAGAACTCATCACTTCTCATCTAGACTATTGTAATAGTCCTAGCTTTTCTCCCTGATTCAGGTCTTCCTATTCCTAAGTCATCCTCTCCACAGCTTCCAAAGGAATCTTCACAAGATACAGGTCTGTCTCTGTCAGTCCCTTGCTCAAAAAACTTCTGTTGCTCCCTGTTGACTTTGTTGCCAACTACAAACTTCTCTTACTGACTTTTCATATCTTGCACAATCTGGCTCCAACCTAGCTTTCCAGTCTTATTTCATATTACTCTCCTTCGTGTACTCTACATTTCATTTTAAATGGCCTATCAGTTCTCCAAAAATCAACCTTTACACATCCTGCATCAGTACATTTGCCAAGGTCATCTCACATATCTGCAGTGACGTTCTTCCTCACCTCCACGTTTTAAAATCATTACCATCATTCATCACTTAGCTCAGTGCCACCTCCTCTTTGAAGCCTGTATAGATAAACCCTGTTATTACTTGTATTTACTGAACTATATGCTAGTGGGAACATGGTGACTGGAGGCAAATTGGTACAGTGGAAAGAACTCTGGCTTTTGAATAAGCTCAAAGGTTTTGTTACACAAGTCTCAAATTTTCTGGCCCCCATTTCTTCATCTGAAAAACCATCTAAAATCTGGCCTTCTCAGATTTTATCTGGCACATCCCTTAAGGGGATGAC